CTAAACCTAAACCTAACCTAAACCTAACTTAAACCTAACCTAAACCCTTCGTCTTAGAAAAATGGACCCTAACTTTTCGAGAATATTTTATTTCTAACATAAACCTAAACCTAACCTAAACCTAACTTAAACCTAAACCTAACTTAAACCTAAACTCTTCGCCTTAGAAAAATGGACCCTAACTTTTCGAGAATATTTTATTTCTAACATAAACCTAAACCTAACCTAAACCTAACTTAAACCTAAACCTAACTTAAACCTAAACTCTTCGCCTTAGAAAAATGGACCCTAACTTTTCGAGAATATTTGCTTTGTCTCGGGTGCTTATATTTTTTTTTCTTTTTTTTTCGAGATAAATAATTTCAGAAATGTTAACGAATCGCTGAGTTTTTTCGTTACTGTAAATTGACTTAGTGCCACTTTCAAAGTAAACGGCTCATGTGTAGATTTATTCGCGGTTATACAGGGCGTTTCAAAACAAGTCGAACAGAAAGAATAAAATTCTTTTCATCGAAGCCTTCGTCCGTCGGGAAAATCGAAGTTTGAAAATTTTTCAAGCACACTTGAATTTGACTAATTCCGCGCGAATCATAGTTTTCGTATATTCTATTGTGCAAAAATGAGTAAAAATTGTAGAATAAGAATTTTTCGCCAAAGACGTTATTTTCAAGAAAACAGACTTTCAAATGACGAATAATCGATGGAAAGTTCTTTTATTTATATATATGTACGAAAACGTAGGTACAAATTTTTCCATTTCAGGCTTTATGTTTAAGATAAATAGACTTGGAATATGTTCAATTAAAAATTGGCTCGACGCTTGAATCTTGAAATTTAATTTCCTGAGTAACGCATTCAAAGTTTAATAAAATGGCGGAAAAATATCGCAGATAAAGTTTTGGAGGATCACTCTAAGTTAAGAAAAAATTCATTGTAGATGCAATCATTAAAAAAATTTTTTCAACGTTTTTGCAATTTATAATACTTTCGAGAAAGAAAATATCTTCATCTATCTATCCGTGATATAAAAAAATTTTAGAATAAAATTAATGATTGACTTCAAGCTTTAAAATGAAACCAGATTTATTGTTGTACGATTTTGTTTTGCGAAATTGTAATAGTTTAAACATTAATGTGAGGAACTGTATCTTAAAAATATAAAATATACTAAAGTGTCTTGCATCTTCTTAAGCGAAATCTAAAAACATGTGTTTTTATTGTGCATGGAAAGCTAATAAATTGGTTCGTAAAATTCAAGCATATAAATTTCTGAGAGAAAAATAAAAGAAAGTGGGAGCTCAATTAAATCGTATAAAATTTTTTCACCATCATTTACTATCTACTTTAAGCAACAAGCGTATTCTACCGCGTTGTATTTCGCATCTATGTTAAAATATTGAAATAATTTTTGAAGATTTATACATCACACTTTATTTTTATCTAATTGTGATAACATAATATTTATCATTTCTAAATGTTACCATGGAATCTAATTAAAAAAAAAAAAAGAATTAAAAATTAATGGATAGTATTTCTCATTCATATTTACATTAATAACAATGCAGGATTGAAAACGGTCGCGTCACGCCGAAAATGAAACTAATATCAAATAATTTGTTTTCCTACGCGAAGTTTTAGTTAGACGATCAGAGAAAATTTTGTGAGAACGCGTAATCAAAATGTTCAAAGACAGCTGGACACGTATCTATCGAATGACACATGATCAGGTTTTCGAAAGATGCGTGGGAGAGTTTAAAGGTGACATAATCCAACGGTGAATTTGCTGAAAAACTGGTCACGATATGACGAAGAAAATACCTTAATGTAAGAATATCCTTAATTGATATCACTGATACTATCCCGTTGGAAATATAATAATTCCAAAGCAAACGATTCAATTTTGGAATTTTTAATTCCATTAAATTTTTGTTAATCTGCATCTATGGAGAAGTTTTAGTAATCTCAGTAAATTACTTAGTAAATTTAGTCAATTACTACGGTAATAACCTAATAATAGTATTTAAAGGACGATATAATTAGATATGTAAAAGTTGTTCTACAAGCTAACTTCTATATTTGTTATAAATTAATTTAATGGTGATTTCTACATTCGTTATAAATTAATATCATGTGACGAGGCATTGCGAATCACACAGGGCGTGAAGAAGGAAAAAAAAAAAAAAAAA